CTTTTCATACCGAGATGGTAACTGACCCAGAGAAGTGCCTTCCTCGACATTCCCCAGCTCGCTCTATCTGCCAGGCCTTTAATGTTTCCATCATTCATTCAATCTTCAGCCATCATCGACTGAGTGTCAGACTCTGTGCCAGGCACTAGAAGGGTTCCAATCAGGTAAGCAGAGAGAAGAGAGGAAAAGAATTTCAGACAAAGGGTAAAGGGGTGAAGACAGCACAAAGCCAGAACGCAGGAGAGTTCTGGAATTCAGAGCGTGCTTAGAATGCCAGGGAAGCAAGTGAGTCAGGCCCACCTAGGAGGTTCCTCAGGGAAATCATCCCCATAGTCTCACCTCCTCCCCAGTTCCCCAGTTCCAGTGTCACTGCAACAAGAGAAGCCTGTGGGGTTATGGAGCAAGTTTTGTTTTTTTCCAAAGTCCCAGGAACAATGGTGCCAGCAGTCAATCAGTCAATGCCCAAGTCAATCAGAAACAGAGCCACAGTCCCTGGAAGGAACAGGTGTCACCTAATCCCACCAGGAAGATATGTCTCCCTAAATCATGGTTTTCCAGAAACAGCCAGTAACACTTACCGAGCAATTTACCTTGTCCCGAGCTCTCATAGGCATTTCACATACATGAGCCCGTTTAACCCTCACTCTATGAGGTAAATAGGTTAATAATCCCCCATTTCACAGATGAGCTAAATGAGGTTTGGGACTTGGAAGTGGCATAGTCAAGATTCAAATCCAGATTTATCAAACTCTGAAGGCTTTTTCTGAACCCCTGTGCCATGCCATCCCTCCTACCATCTTGCAACTGTGAGCTCACCCCACTTCTCAGGTTGGCCTACTCCTAAGAGGGCTATCGCAGGAAAAGCAGCATAGTAGCTCTGCCCCTTATGAGCTAGGTGATCTTGGGCAAGTGACTTCATCTCCCGGAGCCTCAGTCTCCTCATCTGTGCAATAGGAACTATATCCTAGAGTTCTTGGGGGCCCTTTACACAGGACTTTGTCCTAGGAAATGGGTACACTGGAGATGATCCATCCCTCTTAGGAGTCTCCTACACCATCCTCACTGTTCCATTGGCAAAACAAAGCCGAGCAGACCCTGGAATGGTGAAGAAAAGGCCACAGCTATTTGCAACAACCAGTCACTGAGACCTAGCAGCCAAGATAGGATTTTGCTCATCCTTTTTTTCCCAGAAGGCTGGTCACATGACAATAGGTATTCGATAAATATTTCTTCTGAAAACATACACACACACATGCACACATACAAACACACACACAGTGGAAAGGAAAGACATCAGCATGTTCTCCCTGGTTATCTCCAAGCTGTGGAAACTTTATCTTTCTGTTTGCTTATCTGAATTTTCTGATTTTTCTATGTTGAGCATGTATTACTTGTGGCACTGAGATCTTGAAAGACACACATCTCACTATAGATTACCTCTGGGAAATGAAAATGGGAAAAATTAATTAGGAGGACTTTTTTAAAGCTTTGTGTTCATTCTTCATTTTTGTGTTACTTTTGAAATTTTTTACACTCTCCTTTTAGTTCAAATTTATTTTCTTCTTTTTCTATTCCACCAAAAAGTCTTCCTCTGGATGGAATATTCACCAACACCCTCTCCCCAGCCCCAAAAGATTACAAGGAAGTGGAGTCCAGCTAATCTTTTCCTGTGTCTTTGGGAATTTGCTTGCTGTCTGACCCAGACGCTCTACACATGCTCATAAAAACCTTCTGCCAAACTTTATTAGCCATTTAGGCTGCTGTGGTGCTATTCCGAGTACCTTATCTTCTGGCATTAATTTAAAGCAACATTGTCTCACCTGTGTAGGCATGCTTCCATGAGTTAGAGCCTTAAAAAATGGACTGCAATGGATTTTGTCAAAAATTGCCAAAAATCAAAATGTCTGGTTTCATCTCCTATCTCATTTCCAAATCATTAGTAGCAACTGCCTATAGCACTTAGTAGGAAAAACCCTGAGACCATTCCCAGGTAGAGCAAAAACAATCAAACCGAAAGAAGTTAAAAACACTGGCCAGGCACAGTGGCTCACCTGTAATCCCAGCACTTTGGGAGGCCGAGGCAGGCGGATCACTTAAGGTCAGGAGTTCGAGACCAGCCTGGCCAACATGGTGAAATCCCGTCTTTACTAAAGATACAAAAATTAGCAAGGCATGGTGGCTGGTGCCTGTAATCCCAGCTACTCGGGAGGCTGAGGCAGAAGAATCGCTTGAATCGGGAGGCAAAGTTTGCAGTGAGCTGAGATCACGCCACTGCACTCCAGCCTGGGGGACAGAGCGAGACTCCGTCTCAAAAACAAACAAACAAACATACACCATAGCCTTTATGAATTAATGTTTTATGCTAATGAATTACTGATGTCTGCCATGGCACGAAATCAAGGGCTACTGGCATATCTGATATCCCAAATCTAATGAAACACGTCCTCCTTTCACTCCAAAGAGGCAAACTGGTGGGACTCCCATGTGGTACAGTGTGGCAATAACACAGCTATTATTTGTGGAGTGCCACTTTGATTATTTTATTTTATTTTATTTTATTTTATTTTATTTTATTTGAGACGGAGTCTTGCTGTGTCATCCCAGGCTGGAGTGCAGTGGTGCGATCTCGGCTCACTGCAACCTCTGCCTCCTGGGTTCAAATGATTCTCCTGCCTCAGCCTCCCAAGTAGCTTGGATTACAGCCACCTGCCACCAGGCCCAGTTATTTTTTTTTTTTTTGTACTGGAGTGCCACTTTGAGCAAAGGATTTTCCATACCTAACACATCTTACAGCAACTCCCCAGTTATCAGGACAGTTTTGGTTACAAGTGTCAGACAGCCAACTCACACTAGCTCAAGCAAAAAGGGTGTGTTTTGGCTCATGTAACTGAGAGGAGAACTGAGTTAGAGCTTAAAAATCACAGGAAGAGCTTTAGGACTGACACCAGTGGTGGGTTCCAGAAGACTTCTCTTTTTCTTATCTCTGTGTGTATTTGCATGCTGATCTCTCATTTCCTCTTTGCTGTGGTTTGAAGGTGACCCCCAAAGTTCACGTGTTGGAAACTTCATCTCAAACGCAACCATGTTGGGAGGTGGGGCCTAACAAGAGGTAATTGGGTCATGAGGGCTCTGGCCTCATGAATGGATTAAGGTTGTTATTTCAAGAGTGGCTTTGTTTTTTTGGTTTGTTTGGTTTTTATTGTTTTTGTTTCTTGTGATGGAGTCTCGCTCTATCGCCAGGTTGGAGTGCAGTGGTGCAACCTCAGCTCGTTGCAACCTCTGCTTCCCAAGTTCAAGCGATTCTCCTGCCTCAGCCTCCCGAGTACCTGGGACTACAGGTGAGCGCCACCACGCCCGGCTAATTTTTGTATTTTTAGTAGAGACGGGGTTTCACCATGTTGGCCAGGCTGGTCTCGATCTCCTGACCTCGTGATCCACCTGCCTTGGCCTCCCAAAGTACTGGGATTACAGGCATGAGCCACTGCACCCGGCCGAGAGTGGCTTTATTTTAGCAAGTTCCAGTCCCTCTTGCTCTTGCACTTAATTACCCTTCTTTCATGGGATGACACAGCACAAAGGCCCTCTCCAGATGTAGGCCCCACTACCTTGGACTTCTCAGCCTCCAGAACTGTAAGAAATACGTTTCTTTTCTTTATAAATTACCTGGCCTGTGGTATTGTTATAGCAACACAAAACAGATTAAGACACTCATACTACAAACAGGCCTCTCCCATACGAAGAGGAATATGGTTGCTGTTTTCCCAGGCATAGAGTGCTAACTTTTCCCAACATGTGTTTATCAGTCCCAGGGGAAAACTCTGATTAGACTGTTTGGTCATATGGCCATTCTTTGGGCCAATCACTGTTGTCAGGTAATTTGGTCAGAATTCAGCTATATTCCCATCCGTCTGACCAAGGGGTCTGTGTCTACCAATAAAAGAAAGGTTTGAGAAGCTTAATAGTCATTTAAAAATCAGGGCCACCACGAACAGTTGTGCAGGTTGCATGCTGCACAAGGGCACCAGCTGAGTGGATAAGGAAGGAATAAAATCCTGCCTGTGCCCTGTTTATGGAGCAAGCCATAAACTCTGGCCCCAGGTACATCTGCTACAATTGTTCTAATTCATAACATGGTGTTACGCAGGCTGGCATTAGCCCAAGGAAAAAGCAACAGCTACTGCAAGACACTACAGTCCCTAGGAAGTAAATAATGACTATCCCATTTTTCAGATGAGAAAACAGAGCTCACAGAGGCCAAGTGAATCACCCAAGGCTATACAGGAGTCTCTCCTTATTCCCAACGCCCAGCGGATGCCTGAAACCATGGATACTACTGAACCCTGTATATATATATATTTTTTTTTCCTATGAAACAAACCTATAATAAAGTTTAGTTTATAAATTTGGCACAGTAAGAGATTAACCACAGTAACTAATAATAAAATAGAACAATTATAACAATGTACCATAATAAGTTATGTGAATATGGTCTATCCCTCTTCTAAATATCTCACTGTAATGTATTCATCTCTGTTCAGACAGCAGTGGACCACAGGTAACTGAAACTGGGAAAAGTGAAACCGCAGATAAGGGGGAATTACTGTACAGCAGGAAACAGTAGAGTCAGGATTCGAACCCAGATTTGTGTAGCTCCAAAGCCTATGTTTTGCCTATCATAACCCACTCAACACCCTGTAAGAGAAATGGGACCCACCAGGCTCCTAACAGCATGAAGAAGAAGTGAGAGAAGTGGATTCTTGTGCCTCTTCTCTCTGAAAACCCAGTTAACCCCACAGAAACAAACAAGCCACTTAAGAAAGCCAATCCAAGCCCAAGATGAAACACTCCAAAAAAAACCTGTGTTTGCAAACAGCTTGAAAGTCATGGTGTTCCACTTAAAAAGGTAATTTCTTGCTTGGAACAGTGAGAAATTAGATGCAATCTGTTTTGATTTCTTCGTAATTTAGGACACGCTTTAGTGACCAACCTGCACACGTGCCAGCATCCTTCTGTCCTGAGGGTGTGCTGGCTCGGTTTGTGTCTCTGTTCATAAAGGAAGTCTAAATCATCCCACAGGAAAAGTGGCCTAGAATTTCTACCACAGGCATGGAGACAGGCTGAGCAGCCTCTTCCTGGATATTCTTATTAATAAGAATAAGAATAATTACCATTTACTGGGCTTTTACTGTGTGTCAGGTCTGGTGCCGAAAACATCCATCACCACAGAACCTTATTGGGATGGGGTTGGGGGGAAATTTTTTGTACTCAGCATCTGAACACCTTTCCTCTGTAGGAGGAGAATCCCCCACTGGGCAGTTCTTGGCAAGAGCTGGACCTGTCTCCCTCCATAGGCTCAAAAGAGGCCAGAAATCCATGAGCTCCCCATGATCCTTTCAATATATTTTGTTTCTAAAAAATAGACTGTTATTGTTTAGAGCGGTTTTAAATTCACAACAAAATTGAGAGGAAGATACAGATTTCCCGTATATCTCCCTCCTCCAACATTCTCCCCCACTGTCAACATCCCCCACCAGCGCGGTCCAATTGTTACAACCAATGAACCTACACTGACACATCATCACCCAAAGTCTGTAATAACATGTGCCCACCAGTACAGTCTCATACAGAGTCGTTTTGCTGCCCTGAAAATCCCACCTACTCATCCCTTCCTCCATCCTAACACCTGACAACCCCTAATCCTTTTATTGTCCCCATCGTTTTGCCTTTTGCAAAATATCACGTCCCTGAAATCATACCATGTGTGGCCTTTTCGGTTGACTTCTTCCTCTTAGCAATGTGAATTTCATTAAGTTTCCTCCACATCTTTTCATGGCTTGATGGCTCATTTCTACATTCTATGTTTGCTTACATTAACCAAAGTCTATTTCTGTTGCTGGCATCCAAGCACCCTGCTACAAAAAAAGTGCTGTTATCCCCATTTTACAGATTAAAAACAACAACAACAACAAAAAAAAAAAACCCTGAGACTCAGAGAGACAAGACTAGGTGGAAGGGTAGAAAAGCTACAAAGGGCAGAGGAAAGCTGCAGGAAAGCATGCAGGCAGCACAATGCAGTTGAGAGAAGTGCAGTTTTGTAGTCAGGAACTCGGATATGAGGGCCGGCTTCATCACTTACCCGCCGGGGGGCCTCTGGAAAGTTGCTTAACTTCTCTTCATTTCTTCATCCATAAGGAAATGGGTCTCCATTTCTTCATCCATAAAATTCAGGTTACTGTGCCTGTAACAAGCAATTATTGAGAGTATTAAAAGAAATCAGGTATAGGCCAGGTGTGGTGGCTCACACCCATAATCCCAGCACTTTGGGAGGCCAAGGTGGGCGGATCACTTGAGGCCATGAGTTCGAGACTAGCCTGGCCAACATGGTGAAAACTTGTCTCTACTAAAAATACAAAAATTAGCTGGGCATGGTAGCATGTGCCTGTAGTCCCAGCTACTCAGAAGGCTGAGGCAGGAGAATAGCTTGAACCTGGGAGGCGGAGGTTGCAGTGAGCCGAGATCTTGCCACTGTACTCCAGCCTGGGAGACAGAGCGAGACCCTGTCTCAAAAAAAAAAAAAAGAAGAAGAAAGAAAAAAGAAAAAGAAAGAAATCATGTGTATATTGCACTTAACACAGTGCCTGTCTCAACATGTGTTAGCTGTGGTATCTGTTATTGTTATTATTTGTGTTCATTAACCTAATTCTATCATACCCTGTTATAAACCAGGACTATCTGACCATCTGGAAGGATTCTGTTTGCTCTATTTTGTCCTTTCCTCAACCCCCAGAGCTGCAGGTGAGGGAAAGGAGAGGATGAGTGACCCTTCTGCCTGGAGATTCTTGACATGAGGGGACGTCTGAAACTAGACATTCTGTCTGCTTCTTTCCATATCTCAGGGGAACCCTAGCACAAGCGAGTGGGGACCCGGCCTGTGCTCACTGATTACACTAATGATGATGGATTTCCTCCCCTTTAGCACTTAATCAACAGCTGCCCAGTGTTTTATCACCATTTCCCAGGGCAGAGCAGGCCACCCCAACCCCTACTCACGAGGGCCTTTTCTTTCTTACTCCATGTGACCCAGAACAGAGCCCATTAAAGAACTCACTCATTTCTCCACCCTCCACCCCTTTAATTACAAACAGTGCTGAGAGTTGAATAACACAGAACAAAAGACAGATTTATTTACCCCAGGACATAAACAAGATTATCAGAAACAGGCATTCAGAAGCCCTTAGCTCCTGGGAGAATTTTAATTTGCTGACCCCTGGCTTACAGAAATCTTAGGTCTTTTCACATAATTATAAAACCCCGAGAGTTTTGCCTGCTTGAGTTATTTATTGGCACGCATCCCCAACCCGGCTGCTGGCTCTCATTGGCCAATTACAGGCATCTCCACTGGGACTTTAAAACAGGCTCTTTTGAGACAACGCAGGAAGGCTGAAAGAAATTCTCTTTTCCTTGGTGAAGTTTTCCTACTGGCGGCTTCCTGGAATGATCGAGGTACACAAACAGGAGGGAGAAGGAGGCATGATTACATTGATTAGAACACTTTGGGTTACAAATCACTTAATCCCACATCGAACTGGCATTAAACCAAAAAGGGACTGTATTGTAACTGAAAAGTCCACCATTAAAGTTACCTTCAGGCACAGCTCAATTCCGGGGCTATAACCATGTCAGTGGGCTCGGTCTCTCTCTACATCTCTCACCTGTTTGCCTCTAGGTCGCTGGCTTCTTTCTCATGGGAGAAATGGTCTCCAGCCCTCCTAAGCTTCCAACCTATCAGCTCCTAGAATTAAGTCTCATTCGCTCAGCTTTGGTCATGTGCCCATAGGGAACCAATCATTGTGGCTGGAGGAGGAAATATGCTGATTGGCTAGACCTGGGTCATGTGCCCAATTTTTTTCTTTTTTTGTTTTTGTTTTTGTTTTTGTTTTTTTGAGATGGAGTCCGGCTCTGTCGCCCAGGCAGGAGTGCAGTGGCAGGATCATGGCTCACTGCAACCTCCGCCTCCAGGGTTCAAGTGATCTTCCCATCTCAGCCTCCCAAGTAGCTGCCATTACAGGTGCCTGCACCATCACCCCGGCTAATGTTTTTGTATTTTTAGTAAAGACAGGGTCTCACCAAGTTGGCTAGATTGGTCTGGATCTCCTGACCTCAAGTAATCCGCCCGCTAGGCCTCCCAAAGTGTTGGGATTACAGGCGTGAGCCACCGTGCCCAGCAAGTATACCCTATCTTGTATTTGGGGTGGGACCAATGCTATCTGAACCATATGGGCTAAGGCATCATGGGGTGAGTCCTCAAAGAAAAGTCAGGGTGTGTACCCAGGAAAAGGGAGACAGATGCTGAGCAGATAAAAGCAATGAAATGCTTCGCTTTTATCTATCCATCATAGTATTCCTCTGGGTTCGGGGTTACAGGACACCCCACACTCTTCCTGGAGCAGCTTGGAAGTGGCCACTTTAGCATGTTAGGGGTTAAATTGTTTTCTCCCCCTAAATGTACAGCTTGACATCGTAACCCACCCACTTCAGAGTGTGACTGTGACGGTTAATTTTAGGTGATATGTAGGGGAAAACTCTTCTCAAACTCAAGCTTAGTTTTTCATCTACTCTCACACCACAACAACCATCAACACAGAAGGCTTCTGTGACCAAATGTGGGGCGGCAGTTTCCCCACATACCAAGCGGCAGACACCAGCTGGGTGTCCTCTAATTCAGTTCTGACACCATCTACCTGGAGATAGTATCGTATCCCACAGGTTGAGGGCTCAGTCCCCAAGACTGCCTCTCTACACACACAAACCAGTTGCAAGTTTGGAACTTCTGGCAGATTGGTTTCAAGTTGGGGTTCCCCAACCCCCACTTTGGATTTGATTAATTTGCTGGAGTGGCTCACAGAACTCAGGGAAACACTTACATACATTTACCAATGTATTATAAAGGATATTGCAAAGGATTCAGATGAAGAACTGTATAGGGCAAGGTAAGGGTAGGGGTGAAGAACTTCCATGCCCTCCCTGGGCACCACCGTCTGGGAGTCTCCATGTGTTTGTGAAACCCGAAAATTTGAGACAGGTGCCAGTTAATTTAGAAAGTTTATTTTGCCAAGGTTGAGGACTCGCGCCCATGACACAGCCTCAGGAGGTCCTGATGACACGTGCCTAAGGTGGTCAGAGCACAGTTTGGTTTATACATTTTAGGGAGACATGAGACGTCAATCAACATATGTCATAAGATGAACATTGATTCCCTCTGGAAAGGTGGCACAACTCGAAGTGGGGAGGGGGCTTCCAGATCATAGGTAGATAAGAGACAAATGGTCGCATTCTTTTAAGTTTCTGATGAGGCTCTCCAAAGGAGGTCATCAGATATATATTTATTTCAGTGAGCAGAGGGGTGACTGAATAGAACGGGAGACAGGTGTGCTGTAAGCAGTCCCCAGCTTGACTTTTTCCTTTAGCTTAGTGATTTTGGGGGCCCAAGATATTTTCTTTTCACATGTTCAACTATCTGGAAGCTCCCCAAACCCTGTCCCTCTTGGGTTTTTCCAGAAGCTTCATGATATCACCATTCCTTCCCCTAGGATATAGAGTGGGACCCTATCATGGGAGGGTCTTAAGATCCACGGTCAGAAAGGTGGAGGAACATTAGAGTGAAAAGAGGGCAGGAGAAAGTCAGAGGCCACCCACGAGGCCAAACACACCCACCATTCTTAAAAAAGCCGTAACAAGGACTGTGGGAGTTATGAGCCAGGAACCATGGACAAAAACCAGTACATATCATAACACCACAGGGGTCAACTTGGCTGCATTAAGGAATAACTAGAAACCTGGTGAAGCACTATTTTGGGGTATGTCTGTGGAGATATTTCCAGAGGAAATTAGCATGTGAGTCAGTGTGAACTAGATGGGGAAGAGCCATCCTCAGTGTGGGCAGGCACCATCCAATCTGTTGGCGGCCCAGAGAGAGCAAAAACAGAGAAAGGCAAATATGTCTATCTGTCTGCTGGACTTGGATCCACTCCTTTTCTCCTGTTTTGGGGCAACTCTAAGTTCCCAAGCCTTTGGACTCCAGGACTTAAACCAGCACCCCTTCCCTCTGACCCCAGGTTCTCAAGCCTTTGACCTCAGACTGTGAGTCACACAATCGACTTCCCTGGTTCTGAGGCCTTCAGACTTGGACTGAGCCATGCTACCAAAATCCCAGGGTCTCCAGCTTGCAGACAGCTTGTTGTGAGACCTCTCAGTCTCCATAATTGTGTGAGCCAATTCCCCTAATAAATTCCCTCTCATCTATCTGTCTGTCTGTCTGTCTGTCTATCTATCTATCTATCTATCTATCTATCTATCTATCTATCTATCTATCCATCCATCCATCCTATTGGTTCTGTCTCTCTGAAGAACTCTGACAAATACAGTGACCCTTAGGTCTTTAAAGAGAGAATCAAGTTAAGGCCAGGCGCAGTAGCTCACACCTATTATCTCAGCACTTCAGGAGGCTGAGGCAGGCAGACCACTTGAGCTCAGGAGTTCGAGACCAGCCTGGCCAAGGTGGCAAAACTCCATCTCTACTCAAAACACAAAAATTAGCTGGGCGTAGTGGCGCATGCCTGTAATCCCAGGTATTTGGAAGGCTGAGGCCGGAGGATCACTTGAACCTGGGAGGTATAGGTTGCAGTGATCCAAGATTGTGCCACTGCACTCCAGTCTGGGCAATAGAATGAGATTCTGTTGCAAAAAAATAATCATCATCATCATCAAGTTAAAATAAAGTCATTAGAATAGGTCTTAATCCAATATAACTGGTGTCTGTTTAAGAAGAGGGTATTTGAACACGGACGTGCATACAGGGAAAATGTCATGTGAACATGACAATGGCCTTCTACAAGCCAAGTAGAGAGGCCTGAAACAGACTCTTCCCTCACAGCTCTCAGAAGGAACCAACACTACCAACACTTTGGTCTTGGACTTCAAGCCTCCAGAACTGTGAGACAGTGAGTTTCTGTTGCGTAAGGTATCCAGTTGTGGTATTTTGTTACCCAAGCAGCCCAAAGTAATACGGCATCCTTTGAGGAAGAAGTGAGGCGAAGTGTTCAGGTTCCCTGAGAGCCTGGCTCAAGCCTCACTCCATACTCTAGAAGATTCCAAAGCTCTCCCAAGATTCCTGTAAATCCCTGGAGGGTTATACCACCATGGTCCCTCCTGATTTCAGGTTGCTGTTTCCATGTGGGTTTTCTCTGTTAATCACCATTGATTTGGATATGATATTCAGCCCTATCCTGTAACGGCCACCCAGAAAAAGAATCCATTCATCCAAGACATGTCTGTCACTTTGCTGAAGTCTCTTGGATTAGAGAGAGGAGGAGGTTAAGTGGTAAGTTCACATGAAGCTTCGAAATTGAACGATAAGAATCCATGTTCATTCATTCATTCATTAAAAAAATTATTTATTTATTTATTTATTTATTTATTTATTTATTTATTTATTTATCTGATACAGGGTCTTGCTCTGTTACCCAGTCTGGAGTGTAGTGGTGCAATCACTGCTCACTGCAGCCTCAAACTCTCAGGCTCAGGTGATATTCCTGCGTCAGCTTCCTAAGTAGCTGGGACTACAGGAGCGTGCCACCATGCCCAACTAATTTTTTGTACTTTTTGTAGAGATGGGGTTTTTTGCTGGCAAAATAATATATATATGTTTATTGAAACCCACTTTGTGCCATCACTGAAGCATAAGAAGACACAGTGAAGAACAAAATAGACAAGACCCCCATCCTCACAGAACTTATATTTTAGTTGGGAACACAGACGATAAACAGGAAAAATAA